TTGCCAAAACAGCAGTGGCGGCAGTAAAACTCTATTTATCTAGAGAACCTCTCTATGTCGATAAAACGGCTCAACGACTTCCATAATTGCATTTATTTGATTCAGCATATTTAACTATCTCTGTTTTCTTTTCTGTTTAGGCGTATAGATCTCGTTGTCGTAACTGCTTCATAATGCATGGAAATGGGCATGGCCAAGATAATCTACATTTCCTTAGTCCTAAATGTCCAACTTTGATCGTTAGTTGTTTAGTGGAATTGATGTTTACGAACTGAGATATGTGAAGAAGGAAATGACTATTGCATGTTTGAGAAAAAGTTCTCTATGGTTATAAGCGTCGTCTATTCCTTGAATCCATGATATTTTAACCGCACCATCAAGTTAGCTAGACTTAGCAAAATGATATTTGTTTAAAAAAAATTTACTCCGCTTCTTTGCGGGCCAACTCGTGTTTAAGATGAGGCATTATACACTTAAGGTATTATCGTATACTTCTCAAAGTAATGAGCGTTTATTACTTTACTTTCTCTTACTTCCTGCCTTCAATTACTTGAAAACATATACTGATCCAGTGTGGTTTTCTAGTTAGAATACTACGGAAGACAAAACAGAAAGATTTCGTTCGATTTACTACGATTTTCAATACACTGAAAATTTACAAATTTCACTCAGTGGCTACCTTGACTAGTCCGCCAGGTGCGAGGCTATGTGGTGGGTACCACGGTGGTAGAGAGTGAGTTAAGCGAGGATAAAAAAGGATGATGTGCTTCCCTGCGACGTGGGTGGATTTATAGAATGGGAACTACTGCTTCTGCTGTGCTGAATTATATTTGGATACTTGGATGGCTCGTCATCACTGATTATGCGGGCTCCAGCACAATTTCCATTCTCTGGAGATTTCCTGGTTTAACCATTGCGGTTCCCCGGATCCCGAGGACAACCTGGCCAAAGTCTGTCCGAGGTCGTCACCACCACAGGCAGTCGCAGCCGTCGTAGATAAGAGGGAGATTTACCACCATGCGACTAGTTTGCTACCAGGACGGTGGAAAACCCTGGTATTCGCTTGCTCTTACCTGGGCTTCCTGAGGAAAACACCGAACGGCTTCTCGGCTTGAGAGGCCTTGCTGAGGGGATGAATCCCCTTGCTGTACATCGCAGTCCGACACCCAAATACACCTCCGAGCCACGATTAGGCGATAAACCGTTGGGAGGGTGCTGAAGTATAGCTTATATATTCCAAATGGCATATCCATGCATGCGTACGAGGAGTTTGCACGGGTATACTTGTGCTCTAAATTTCAATTCGGTTTTTTGTTTATGCAACCGAAGACCTTTTCGTTGAAACATGAGATAATGTTAACCATAAATATCATTCCCTTAAACAACTAACAACCACTGTCGCACGGTTACGATCGAAAAGACCATTATTGATTTTCTTCTTCTAATATCGCAACATCAAACCGTGACAGAAACAAGGTCAAAGTGCTCCTAAGGAACTTGGAAAACTACAGAGAAAAAAGCTTCTCATAAGGTCATGAATGGGAACGGCAAGACTGCAGAATATTCGAAGAACTTAAAATTGAGAACAAGGTATCAGAATAGAAAAAGTTGACAAAATGCGTGCTACACTTACAAAAAGTGCTAGAGATGCCAAGATTTTGAAAGTGACTAGCAACTACTTGCGCCACGAAAGATGAACTCACGCACCAACGTGGAGCTACGAGTCGCAGATAACTAACAAGTCTTCTACAAAGTGATGCAACAAGATCTCAAGGAGATAGGAATTATGGTTGAAGATGCAAGTTGAGGAGGACCATTCGTAACGTCTGTAGAAAATCACCAACAAAACCAAGCTAATCACCCTCTGGTGGAATGATAAAGGCATCGAAAACGGTAATAAAGAACATCATCCATGACTTCAACTCCAACCTTTTCGACAATTTGGTCCAGCTTCTCCATGTCATATCACAGAGGACAGATATGCTCTCTCATTGGATTATCGTTCCAAAGCGCGGTATGCTATCCCATCGGTGAAAAACCGTACATTATCTGGTCCACAAAAGATTTGACCACAACAACTGATCAACCTTCTGCCAGTTACCAACACACTAGCTTGGTTATTCACAAGTCACGTGGTGAAATGTGGGGTTCCTGTATAATGAAAGACAAAGAAGATCGCATTGTCGTGCAAGCACCAAGATCCATACTACAATTCCGAAAACTATCACATAGTTTACCCGGTTTTTGATCACTATATTCATCCTCAATAGAATTGACAAGGCACTGTACGAATGGCAGCTGTGCAAGCAATCTGTGTTTAGGAAAGTATTTGGCACAATGGAGCGAATCTACATCATAAAGAAACTCACTAAAGCGTTTCAGGAGTACAAGAAGCCGCTTTGTTGTAATTTTATTGACATTAAAGAGGTCTTCGACTCAGTTAAGACAAAATCAGCCATTGAAGTTGTGGTTAGCAAAGGAGGCCTTCCACTTAAGTAAGACGGGATTATTCATCGAAGTTCTGGTTAGTTTGAAGAAAGAACACTCGAATCTGTATCTAGCTTCTTGATGCCATCGATTCTTCCTGCCTCAAAGTGTGTAAAGGAAACATGGACGCTACGTAAGCAGCACGAAAGATCAGTTATTGTTATCGAACATGAAAACAATCGGAGTGATGTTGGAAGTACCACGTAACACTGAGAAAAAAGAGGAGAAAGGAATCGCGAAATCCCAACCTACCTCAATAATTAAAGGTCTAATGGTCAGATATCATAACGAGGATCCTATAAGGAAAACGTGGAGTGGAACATAATCCTTCATGTACCAGTTTCTTTTATTACACTTCATGAAAAGGAAATGTCATTGTCTCAAGATTATGGAACCTATACCTGCAACGAAGACATGATCTTAAAGTGACCATGGAAAAACGAACAGAAACTGGTGTCATACATTATGCTTCACGAAAACGTCTGAACTATGGTGTTAACATGGAAAAACGTCGATAGGGAACAGGGTACGAACTGTTTGGCAATACCAGCCGTCTAAGTATCAAGTAACAAGCAATATTAGGGCACCACTATGTTAAATTAATCATGATATTAACCTTCTATTTACTGCTTACTATAATTTTCACGGCAGGGTATGTGAAAGAAAACTGCAATGATGCTGAGATATTCGCAAAATCTGGAACCCGAGACAGATCGAACTACGATTACACTTTCCGGGACTCGCCTATTACACACTGCACCACTGGGGCCCTAAGCTCCTGGGAATATCTCAGTATCATTGTAGTTAAGTTAGCTTTACTCTTAACTTAACGTCATAAGTAATTAACTAAACATGAAAAAGTAAACCAACACCGAGTTCTACCCACGTGTCTGATGACCAGCAGCTGGATGGTACCTCAGCATGAAAGGCATTTTCCATGTATCCAAAATGATGAACTTCTTGTGAAAAGCAGCTTTAGCGACGATAAGAATCTGTAGTATGCTAGTCAGCATATATCGAATATAAGCAATAGTTATAAAAAGCCAAAAACAAAAATAAATCAAAAAATGCTTAATGTACATGGCACAAGAATCCTCTCGAAAATAGCCGATCGATACGTATCGGTCAGACGTTGAAGACCATTGATTACGAAAGCACGAGTGAGTAATTTTTCAGCAGTCGCAGTGAAACATTTTAGTTTTTGAGCTGTATCGAAGCCAAATGACATCATTTATATTATCTGCTACTGAGTAACTCAGATGAGCACCGATAACGTCTCAATTCTCAACTCACTCAGAGGTCCATTGCATTCTGCGAGCTAGACTACGATGAATACCGAATTTTCCTATAGGGAGATTTATTTCTATTGCTTTTGGAGATATTGTACATAAATAAGTTCTCCGGGCACTCCTAGAGAAAATTCAAGAGATAGTTTGCCCGCTGCGATCTAAAATCGGCTATTCATGTTTCCTGGTGACCTGCTTGCAGACTTTTGGCGGAATTGATGTGCAGAAGTGCTAAACCACATAATTGTGAAGACATCCATCCATGTGTGCAGTGATTACGTGTCTTAATATTCTTGTTGAGTAAACACAACATGTTATTTTATTCGTTTACCACGAACTAGCCGACGATTCGGCGGATTTCGCCTTCGTCGTAACCTGGAAAGGTCAACTTGAGCACAACCTACCCATATTTTCAAGATTTGAAGATTGAAATCTTGATTTAACACTTTTTCTCTTTGGTGATCGAAGTGTTTGGCTGGGTAGGTTGCGGTCAACTTGACCATTCCAGGCTCTGAGAAGACGAAATCAGCCGGAACGTTAGCTTGTTAGTGAATAAAGAATAAAATAACACTTCATGCCTGCTCAACAAGAATATAAAGAATTATGATTACGTGTACACGAAAGCTGTAAGTGAAACAGCGCAGACTTAGGTAGCCCTTAGTGTGCAGTACGTACTTCTCAATATAAGTACGTGATCACTCTTGCTTGATGTTTAATCCCTACACCATTTGCCATTTGGAGAGGCATTGAACTACACAAAAGGCGATAACTACCTTGTGGGAAGTCGACTGAGCCATTGTAGCTTCAGGATTGAAAATATGAAGTGCCACAACGGTATGCTCATCCAAAGAAGCGTTGATACTAAATTTATTAAAAACTGTAGTAGGCAGTAGAAAAAAGTTTACATTGTGATTTCGACTACAGCCTCTCCCCAGATCAATCCCGTTGACGGATTATTGCTGAAAGTTCTGGTAGATAAGAACTTAGCTGAGGGAAAGGAAACGAAGGACCCGCAGGGTATGGTAGTGAATGCGCTAGCCCCGGAAAGGGCAGTAGCGCTTTCGGTCCCCATCGCAGAGACCTGTGATCCGGACTTTTGCAAATATCTCAGCATAACTGTGGTTGCATCACACACAGTACCCTGGCGTCAAATTATAATAGGCAGTAGGTAAAATTAAATAAATTTATTATTGTTGGTAGCGCTACAAATATTGATTCAATCTCAAGCTATGTACGACAAATGGTTGAAGATGCACACCTGTTTAGGTTAACGTAAACACCTTCCGGAATTTCAACTTCGTACAGAAGTCGACAGTCACTAAAGCGATTCACACTGGCAAGGGCGCTGGAGACAATGAGCATACGATGTAATCCATTACCTTCTACCTAGAGAACACTGAGCATTATCAAGCTCAACAAAACAACTATGAAATGCCAGACAATCATATCTTTCAGACCTTGCCAAAGATTTTTGGGCGAATTCCATTTAGCCATTCACACGAGGTTACGCAATGGTTGCATCGACATAATATGACAAGACCAAACAACCAGATACACTTCATCTGAAAACTTGCAGAAATGTTAATAATCAACAACTTAAAACTGAAGTACAAAAATAAATAGTTTGTGGAATCCCAATCTGTAACAACGTAACTTCTACTTGCTGCCTTAATTTCCGATATTTTAATACGTTCCATATCTAAGCCTCCTTCAAATACTTGGAATTTCTACTTTATTATGTACGCCAACCTTCGACGATAAGGTAGGTTTAACACGTACTAAGTATGAACGCAAAACGATGAGCAAAAGCCGTTTGTGACTGGATTCCTCGGGTTGTCAAACGTACTGTCGGAAGACCACCGACCCGATGGTCAAAGTTCTTCACGAAAAGCGTAGTAGAAAAGTATGACGCTCAGCAAGTCCCTAGAGCGAGCAGAACTCACTGGGCTACTCATGTACACGACGTGGAAAAATGCAAGATTCACCGGTGCCCGTTCGAGTCACTCGACGATCAACGGGACTACGGGTGATATGTATGCAAGCACATGATGAAGGTGAGATTTGAACATAAGTAGTTTCTACAGGACTTCTTTTTTTGAATTTGTTCTACCCAAGACATTTATAAGTTCGACACACATAGACATCATCGTCTTAGACCTGTGTTCGTCAAGGTCGGTGGAATTGTAGCAATGCTATCAGTTGTTTTCACGGAGTCATTCTGTAATCATAAAATCCGTGAATCTACATGCACCAACCTCAACCTTCCAATGATTATACCTTAGCATATTAACGATCTTAAAGGTGGACTACATTCCATTCTTTCTAAAATTCCTGGGTCTTCGCACAAATTCTTCACACAGCTTCCCCAACGAATCAATAACTACGTTGCCATAGATTTTGCACAGATTGATGTTGGTGGGTACTTCGCACTCTACGTATTACATCGATTAGGATGGTTTTGTGGAAAGAATAAAAGCTCTCGGCATTGATCAACCCCTCAGGAATGTGCCATATATTCCACTTTATCGAGCGTCGTTGCAGGTGACTGAATGCAAATGTGGCGTTTACGATGACTCGCGGTGAGTTGGGGATGTATCGAACCAGTGCTGCTATTCTTCCAAATCTAATACCGATTTGCCGACCCCGGTGGGATGGGCCTGTGGCGCGGAAACTGATCCCAGGTGTATTGCAGAGCGCCTCCGACTACTGCGCTATATGCGTGGTTTTGTATACGAGTTAATGATTAGGAACGCTCTAACCATAAACTAAACACATGGTCGTAAAGTGCAAACCTCGCTATGGAATTCTACACACCTCGGATAGGATTTCATACTCCCTCCGCGTTCGCCTTTTGATGGAAGATAAAACAAGGAGAAAAAGTCAAACCAAAAGTTCAGTCTGCCCTAATACGACGAACTATTCGCTACGTCGAGGCCTTCGTATGGCGAACCTCAGCCAGAACTGACGTTTTACAAGAAACTAGTCAGTGGCAGACGTTCCTAATACTGATACTCTGAAAGTTCATAAAACATAGGGAAGTTCCTTGTAGTGACTTGATAATCAAATCAAGACTAGAATTTTGTAAGAGGAGATTACCTCACCGTATAAACGGAGAGCTCAACCATTTAATCATAGGGATATATGGAGAGCAAACCTTTTAACGAACATGAAGCAACTTCGAGACATAAAAATAGTTCTCAGATAACTCCTATGTAGCACAAGTGATAGTTTCGATGCAGTAAATGTTGTACAGAATCGTATCGCTTAACTTCAATAGATACTTTAACCAATCTTGATAAGCCTATGAAAAATGACAGGACATCATTTACAACATTCAATTTACAGAGCAGAGTAGACGATTAAACAGGAAAGGGGATAATGGAACATTCCCGCAAAAAATTTTATCACATATTAGTACCGAAGTTAGCTTACCGGAGCAATAATACGAATGAGGCGGGTACTTATCCTCGGTATGGGGGACAAACATCAAAAAGGAAAACATTGCGGATAACTTAAAGGGCGACATCCATGAGAGTGATATCAGGTTGGATGAGACAGAATGGATTAAAATGGAAACACATTTATACTTAAAAAGACAAAGAAAAACTGGAAAACAGGGGCAAAGATATGCCTATAGACGATAGTCAATGTAATGTATAAGCCGCTTTCACGTGCAATCTACTTAGAAGCCTGCAAAGGCAACTGTTGGAAGTAGAAGTTCATTTTCTCTGCGACTTCTAAAACCTGGGCCGTTTCAGGACGACGAGATGGATCAGAGCAAATGCAGTGAGAGACGAGACTTCGCAGCTGAATTATCCACACAACATCATAGTCTTTTCAGTGTAGAAAGGTTAACAAAGGACTGATATCAGTAAATAACCCCACACAGGAAAAGCTACTTACAAACCACGAAGAGAAAAGAGCAAGAAGAAACCTGCGAGGAATATATGTCTGCCGGTAGAGGTGGATATTCGCAGTTTTCTATCTTCTTGCACAGCGAATATAAATTCATCTTATCGCCATAAAATGGCGACTGCAATGCTGCCATTTCATAGAGCAAGCATCCTATTGACCACAAATCCGATTTGAAATTGTATCCAGACTCTTGAATGCGTTCTGGAGACTGAACATGTAATGAAAAAATACGTACGGAGAATTACTATGGATAATAAAATGAAGCAAAGAGTTCTCGGTGTTGATCAATTCCTGAGGGATGCGCCATGCGTTCGACTTCATTAAGCATCGTTTAGAGGTGATTGGATATATATATATATATACATATATATACATATATATATATATATATGACGATAACAATGACTCGCCGTGGCCTACCGATACATCGAGTCAATTTGGCGACCCCAGGAGTATATGGAGGGCTTGGTGGGCCACGCGAGTTGGGATCGATCTCGTATGTGTCACAGGGCGCTTTCGAGCCCCGCGCTCCTACTATAGATGGTTGGAGTAAAATCATAAAAGAATATTTTAAGAACAAACCATGTAATACGGTGTGCCAACAAGTGAATGAGCCGCAGTAGTTTTTGAACTAAAAAAACGACCAAGTCCCAAATCACCTAATTTTACAATTCCTTCAGAAGTAATAAATACATTTGCAGGCTTGATATCTAAAATAATGACAATAAATTAAACATCAGAACCGATGATATCAAGGAATTCCCCTAACTACCTCTGTGCATTATACGCTTAGAGTGCATGTGTGCGACAGCCCTCGCCAATTGAACAAAATATTTCCAAATCGTTCGCTCAGGTATCAACCGACCGTTTTTCTTGAAATGCTGAAAGAAACGGAATGCCTAGCGGATATGAGGAATTCCCTAGAATGAATCTCGTACAAAAATAGATGCATAAGTGAAAACGAAATAGAAAGGAAAGGAAGAAAGACTTTGATCATTCGACTCATATCTCCCGCTTCAGCAAGCTCCAATACGATGTTCAGCTGATTGTGGTCAACGAAACTAGCATGACATCTAAAGAAGAACTGCAACAAATACGAAAGCACTTTTCCTAAGCCAGAAGAAAAATTAGCAATGAAGCATAAACAGGACCTAATAATATTAACATGATTCAATTGCTTAAGCAAGTCAATTTCCTTCAGACAGTCTTGACGAGCCTTTTGATCAACCATTTCAAAAACCTAAAACTTTTAAGAATCGTGGAAATCGAGTCTTTAAACTACGAAATTTCAAAAATGACCTGAATTTTCTTCAAAGCAACGGTCTGACCACTCCAATTGCACTTAGCTCGAAAAACCTAGGATTTAAAAGATTAAAGTAATCAAAAACACTTTCTGTGTGAGTGCTAAATTGCCAGACCGTGGCAAATAAAAGGGTGTAGATGTTATTCACAGAAAGAGTTTCTCAAGCAAAATAGCAGAATATGTTTGTTATAGTTAGAATAAAACGGTAACATACATCTATAGCCTTTTGTAAGGTCACCATGATTCTTCTCTTTTTTGACACTTAAACGTTCCATGTAACATCTACTTCATCTATTTCTTCCGATTCAAACTTAAACGATAAAGTGTATGACTCTGAAAATACTCTAAAGATATGGTAAGTGAACCATAGCCCCAATGCCACCAAGATCTCATGTGGACAAACCTATACTGAAGAAAGGAATAATATCGCTGGTGTAACATTGTGTAGACCTTTGAGAGGAAAACTGCCGTTTTCTCATCCTTGCAGAACATTCCTCTCGAAAATTCCATGAACAAATGAAATTACATCTCGTTTTCTTACTCAGAAATCGCGAGGTTATTATTCATCGCACATTTATTTCCTTAAAAGAACAGGTACAACAGAACGTTCGCTGACTAGAGTCGCATAACCGTATGCGACTCTGATCAGTGGCTTTTTCTCAGTGGAAGACACGTAAAAGACGGCTATGAAGAAGGCGATGCCGCCGAAACGTCAGTTACCGCTGTGTTGCATGTGTTCTTCTCGTAAGGAAGTAGACGTGTGCTGAATAACAACCCCGAAATTACTGAGAAAGAGAACGAGATATTCATAACCTCATGCCGAGGTTAATAGAAGGTCAATCTTGGTAACTATTACAAATGAGGTTAGTCATGAAGAAGCACTGACCACTTACCTCACTGAACATTCCTTTCCCTATTTTCTTCTCTATTGAAAACATGTCTAACGTGAGTTGAGAAGGTGGCAGAAAGTCCCCAGTGGTTGAACTTAGTTCACTCATCTTGAAGATGCACATCATGCGCTTAAGGAGTTAGGTAAGGTGGACGGAAACAAAGAGAAATAAGTTCGTGCAAACTCATGCTTTCGTTTCGGGAACAGAATATAGAGTCGACAAAAACACTTTATTTCACAGTAGCTATCAACAATGCAAAGGTGGGCCGAATGTTCCATAGAAAATATACAGAAGACAAGAAGTTTACTTTCTACAGATACTGTGTATAAATATAGAAGAGGAAGGTAGAGGCAATGACAGCCATTAAAAGAAAGTTAATTAACAACGGAAGCGAGTATAGTAAGACAAACTTCCAGCAAATTCTCCAAACTCTCAAAATCAGGACTTTACTTCTCATAACCCGCTAGACTTTGGTCTAAAAACCGTAGTATTACTTGACTGCCAAGTGGTGAGAGGAATTTCAATTTTGAATACGTAGAAGAAAACATGGTTGTTTCTTTTGACACTAAGCATCCAGTGAACAGAAGAGTTCTCGCCTCCTGCACTCTACCCGAAGAAAGTGAAGAAAGGAAGTTTTTGAAAACAGAAAATTCTTCAGGAGACAAAGAAGACTCATCTACTGCACGCAGCCTGGGGTTCTGAAACCTATTGAAGTTGTAGTTAAGGAAAATGCGAAAAACCACTGCCCAATGTCATAATTACTGGAACGCAACCAAAGGAAATAACTACCTCGGAAGCCAAACCAACAGTAGCGCTTTCATAAAGTTCCTTGAACACTTTGTGCCGCCCACTAGCGCAAAGCTAAAAGCTCTGAACTGAATAAAAGACAAACGGAGAACCAAGTTCAGATATTCTTCTGACAGCAATATTACTAACCATGGTTCTTTGCAAAAGCAACACAGTTATAACTTCCAAATCCTTCAACATTCGACGACCATACAAGCTCCTAAAATCTTGAAAAGTTTGAACCACATTTTCAAGAGCAGAATCAAGAAGCGTAACGAATACTGGTAGATAGAGACACAGGTCAAGGAAACCGTGCAATAGTAACTGAACTGCTAAAACCTTCAATAGCTTCCGCACTCTTTAAAGTTCTGAATTGTAAAGAAGATTCTCACTTTTTAATATGAAGATCGAGCAGAAACTATAAGAAAAAACGATTCCTTAGGACCAAATCAATATTCAAAACGGAGGTATGTAAACAATAGGGTTGTAAACTCGTGAGTCGTAGCAATATTAAGCAATCCCACTTATGGCTGCGGATCAGTCGTTAAGGGATGCTAATGATTGGTGTACAGATTACGCCTTTACCTCCCAACGGTTAACCACATCGTGGATGGGAGGTGTTCCTGGGTATCCGGCTGCCATGCACAGCGGGGAGATTCGTCCTCACAGCAGGGCCTCCCGAGCTGGGAAGGACTACGGCGTTTCCGTCAGGAAGCCCAGTTAAGAGTAAACAAATACCAGGGTCTATCACCGTCTTGGTAGCAAGCTAATCGCATGGTGGTAAATCTCCCTCTGATCCACAAGAGCTGCGATTGCCTGTGGCGGTAACGAACTGTGGCAGACTTTGGCCAGGCTGTCCTCGAGATCCAGGGAATCACATTGGCTAAACCATCAAGACTCTGAAAAGTAGAAATTTTGCTGGGGTCTGCACAATAAAGAGGAAGGGCCATACGAGTATCCAAGTATTACGCCTTTGACTAAAATAACATTGGAAATCGTACAGTTCCCAAGAATTATCAGGACTAAACTTTATTGAAAGATAAAAACAATAGGTATGGCACATGACGTCAATGTTTGAAACAAAAGACCGTAGTATAAAAAAAATCCAAAGCGTCTACACATAACATTGCCAACCTGGGTCTATTCTTCATTACAATCATCCAGAGATCATCCAGATCAGCCAAGAGATGTTCATACTGATATAAATGAAAGTGAATGGTGGCAATTGAATATAGAGCTCGAGTATGTGCAAAAAATTCACCTTCAAGGAGTCGAACGGCTACAATGGACACTAATCACATATGTTTGCAAACATATTATAACATTTAACGCACAACCTCTTTGAGCATGCTCAGTTGCCATTTCGACATGCTCGCAAGTGATCAAAACTTTGCCAGCCTCCAACGATAACAGTCCTAAAAAGTCAACATTGCACATTAATTCCATAGAATGCCTGTAACTGCTATGCCTAAAAGAGCGCTTCGTCGGACATTCTATTTACACATGGCATCAGCAGCCTCACCTAAAAAAAAGATAAAGCTCTCGGCGGATTGCGTCATGCATTCAATTTCATTTAACATCGTTTGTGGTGATTGAATGCATATCTGGCCTCTACAATGACTCGCAGTAATCCACCGATGTATCGAGCCAATGCTGCTATCCTCCCAGACAAGCTTGGTACCAATTTACTGACCTCGAAGAGATGGAAGGCTTTATCGGCCATGAGCGCGGGGACCGACTCCACGTGCGTGTTGCAGGGCGTCTCCGACCACTGCGCCACACGCGCCCTTTTTGTGCTTTACACATAACTCAGTATTATCAAACTCATGTGATGTAAAAAGACCTCATTATGGCTAAATATCGCAAAATCACTAAAACTGCACTCTGGGCTCGTACTTAATACATTACATGAAACCGCTTTTAACTGACGGCACCATTCCTTTAATCACATTCCGCTGTCCCTACTGTAACAACAACTTTCATAGCCGGGTTCTTAAAGTAACTGCGAAAAAAATTCCTGTGCTATTCCCATATACTGGTGACGAACCGAGCATGTGGAGGTGCAAAAAAACGGACGCGGCGCGTTCACTTCAGTGCACTATTGTGGCTGTTTATTTTGCCTTAGAGGATTTTTTTTGCCACACCGTTCGTACTCATTTGACCGCTACCTCAACACATATGCCGCAACTAGCATAGTACGAGAAAAAACTACAATTTATAAATACGAAAAATATAGTAAGAAAGCTCGCTGCGTCAATATAAATAGCAGGAAATTAAATGAACCATATATGACTCACGCCGCTGTCAATGTGTTAACAGCATCCACTTTAGTATGCGACTCATGAAACCAAAAAATCCGATCTAATGATGTAATGAACATCAGCAATTTTTTGATGACATAGTATACTCTTTTAACCTGACAACCACGAACTTGGAAATTTTTGTACAATCGTCGGAAATCGAAATACTTAAGGAGTTAAGGAATTTTAAAAGAGAGCCCACAGTATTGTTCTAAGATTATATGTAAGCTCTAGAAAATTAACCTTACCGAAAAAATCAAACATTAAATAAAAAGCGAAAAAGTGGAGAAAAAGTTGAAAATAGGAGCGAACATAATGAAAGGCTTGAGAAACTTTAACGCATGCGTTTAACGTCTAACTGTCCATAGTCATGATAGACACCTTCGTAGCCAACTTAACAAAAACTTACCTGCTCAATCGATATGCCATTAGATACAAACAGGAACCCCAATGATAGAAAAGAGGTTAAACAATTTCGCGCACGCCAGTAAATTAGTAACTCTTCACGGTAGAAAAGGCAGACTGTTTCAAGGATGTATATATTCTAATAGGCTTTATTGTAGGCAATAAAATCCACTACGAGTCGAACCATGATTGTACAAAGTTGAAGAGCATCAGAGGAGATTTCTTGCCTCGCAATTAGATGCCTTCTAGGACAGTTTCGACCCGAATGAGTCTATTAAGAGATAAGCTTCCTACTATTCACTGCTACTTAACACTTAGCAGCACCCCTTCGTCACGGTAGAGGAAGTAAACTATCAACAAGAACGCTTACATAGAGGGGAAAATACTATCCATACTTAACAAAATTTTGTAAGACACAGTTTATGGAACAGGTCTCTTGGCCTATATGAGCCGTGGTGCAACTCTTCGCTTTTTGGGACAAAAGAAATTCGAAATGCAATTTTCTTTGGACATCACACAACTCTGCAAAACGAAGGTGAGAATTCAAGACGTTCACGATACCATTTATGGTTTAACCTATTCCGATACCATTTATGGTTTAACCTATTCCGCCAACTGTCCATAGCAGTTTGGACCAAACGACCGTATTATCACTATATAGTGTCCATATTCAGTTTAGTGGGATCTAGAGATGTTTTTAGGTGTTTTTAGTACACTATGTATATTGATTCGACGACTAGTCGAAATCAGATCAAAATGGAATTGGTGTGGCTAGAAAACCCACTCTCTACACTTAGTGATTTAGAGAAAACTTTTTCTCAGGAAGTTCATTGACCCGATAATTTGACTAACAATTAACTTTCATTTCATTTTACTCACTAGTTTTATTGCATGCAATATGCGGATATAGAAACTGAAATAGATAGACTCAATATGGGGTGCCAAATATTTCGAAGCGTTGACAACAATGCATTTGCATAATGGACCATAGTAATTAGCAGTATACATACTATTCATACTCATAGATCGATAGAGTGAAGCCTTTTCTACAATCCCGTTTTGTTCAAAACCCCTCAAGTCCCCTGTTTATTCAGGGAAGATTTTTTATTGAAAAAAAAAGAAAAGTGGGTCAGCAGCCGATCGAAAACTGCTCGCATTCAATTGGGCCAGCTATGAAAAGCAGCGCCGTGGTTGAATGGGTCAAACTAATTAGTCACTCGCTGGTTAATTGGCTATTAATCACAAAACCTACACATCACAATGAACTGGTTTCTTAACCTTATTTCTTAAAATCACTCCTACCAGCAAGTCTCAGAGCTTTCATTTCCAAGCATAATCTGACAGCTCTTGAATAGAAGTCAGCGATTTCATTAGGAAAGTAGCTTTGAACTGAAAGAGGATAATGCTTGTCTAGAAAATTCAAATTAATGACACTCCAATGGATCCGCTAAATTTGAGAAAATAAACAGCATGAAAAAAACAAAAAATACCAAATAACGATAGAACAAGAGAAAGGAGTGTAAAGCAGTTGCGAGTCTGACATACTCAGGCTTTTGCCACTCAGTCCTACTTGAAAGGCATCGAAGAGGAGATGAGCGGCGATCAGGTACTGTTTCCTCTCCTCGTTGTGGT